AATCTTGGATAAAAAAATATCCAAATCATTTGCTAAAAATAGTGGTCAAATAAATCATAGTATACTCAGTCTAGGCAATACAGAACATATATAGATATTTATATATGTGAAAAATATCATAATGACATGTATAATGTAATCCCAGATTCAGAGAATACGTACATTATGACATATAACATGTAAATATTTTACTATATATAAGGTAACAGACATTTCTAGAAGAATGATAATAAAACAATTAGCAATTATCTGAAAGTACATTAGTAAAATTGAAAATGCATTGGGGAAAGGAAGGAGACATTGAACAAATATATACTTGCATTTTTGCTTTATTTAAGATGTGCATTTTTTTTGTTTTGTAAGGGAAAATAAAATCATATTTTGAACATTTGAGTAACTGCACAAATGAATAAAGAGGTGATAAAGACCACCTATAGTCCCACAGTCATAAATGAGCAGCAGCAAGGTCTAGATAGGTTAAAATGGGCAAAACCCACTTCTGGTTCAAGAAATTTTGGGTTTTCAGGGAAAAAATAGGAAACTTTCTGCATACATTTCTGACCAATGATGTGCTTAATTCACCTATTACTTGATGTGAGACTTTCTTAGGCCCAAATCCCTATATAAAACTAAAGAATACTTAGCAACCACATTAGAGAAGTAGGATCCCTAAAGTCAGGAATCCTCAGGTGTCTGGCAGTTTTAAGGTGCCCTTGAGCTGACTCCAACTCCAGGCAAGAAAAAGTTATAAAAATATGACCCTTGAAATGTTTTATTGATTTCCAGGAATGAGGCCCCTAATGACCGTTATACTTTGCTTGCAGCATGTTTTATGGATGTTCTTATTAAAGTTGATTTAATTTCCCCCAGTTCACGTGTTCTTGCTAATTCAATCATTTCCCTCAGTTCCCAGAAGACCATAAAATAGAGAGTTTATTATATACTATATAACAATATACATTAGGGTAAATATATTGATGCGATTCCTCAGCCAGCACATTGTACAGATCTGATAAAGTGCCATAGTAATTACTAAATGAATCTAATCCACTTCATTATATTTTCTGGAGCTCTATTGGTTATGAAAGTTAAAACGATCCATTGTTGTTATTATTAAATTAAAGTCAAATATTTTATGTGCTCTTAGGTATAGGAAAGATACATTACCTTCTCATTTATGGATAGTGATCTGAGAGTTCAGCTATGGTTCTTCTGCCAATGAAAGAAATGTCAACAGAAACTAGAAAAGTAAAAAGAGTCACAGTTCTACATATTTAAAAAATAAGTCCAGTGTGGATGTTATAACATTTAAAAATAAGTAGGAGAATTAAAATGTTATATAAACATTTTTCTACAATGAACAATTATCAAAATTTGATATTTAACGATCAAATTCCACCTCCCCCCCGCACACAATAAGCTCCATTTCTGAGTCTTTTTTTTGACTTATTGGACACAATATGTTTTAAAAAATCAACAAATTATCAGCATATATTTGTCATGCTTCCTCAAACTAATTAAATGTTTCCTTTGGAGAGTGCACAGGATATTGCATTCTGTATTTGGAGTCCTTTATTAGGTATAAATAGAACAAAAGAAGATAATAAGAAACTTCCTTTAAAAGTTTTTACAAGATTAAACTTATAGCCTTACAGTTTTTAATCTTGAAGTAGAACTTTTTTTCTGTACATGGAAAGACAATGTCAAGAGGATTTAATGGAATTATTCTTCCCCAAAGCCACATAAATTTCATAGTTGAGATTCATCCCAAACCCTTTGATTTAAGATCTATTTCTCTTTCTACACTCTGCTGTTTTTTCTGAAATGCATAATCAACATTGATTAGTTCAATTCTGATTTGAATCAGAACCAGAAAGTGTTGTCTGGTGAAATGTAGATAAAAATTCATAAAAGAGAATGTATAGATCACGGTCATGTGTCAGCATGTTAATGAACATGGCCTGGGGAGAGTGCACTGGGTGAAGATAAAAGGCAGAGAGTTCTCTTCTCCTGTGGGGAAAGTCTTCGAGAAGGCAGGAAATCCCATGATTATAAGAAGTGATTATCATTTGTTAAGGCAGAAGGACAGCTAGAGGACAGCTGTCCAGGAACATATCTGGACAGAATACATCGTATTGGAGTAACAGTAGTAAATACAGGTTGCCATGAGGTTGTTAATGTGGAAAATAAAATATATTTAAAAGAGAATTTGGATAGGGTATGTGCATAGAAAAAATATAAGTCTCAATATAGCCTCACTGAGTTGATATGGGTCAACTTGGCATTTAAAATAGGTTTTCATTTTTTATTCATTCATTTAGCAAATGATTACTGAATGAACAAATGGCTTTACACTAGGCACATGGTATTTTATGCTTTAGTGAGCAAGAGCTTGTGTAATGTTAATATTGGGAAATTATATCAAGGGTACAGAGAATAACATGAGTCAATTCATCCTTGTAAAGGTGTAAATCTAACAAGTGTGTGGCCACCTGTGAAAAGATTGAGATTTCGAATTAAGCCCTCAGAGTTGTTGTAAGCAAGGATTTTGAATTTATTTTATTTATGCCAGTGTGTATTATTGCTGATTTATGACTAATAATCATAGCATTTTGAATATAAGTAGGTGCCCTGAAATAAAGAGCACCCCTAGAAAGTAGGCTAAAAATTCAAAAACTAATTGAAATTACAGAGGCTCAAAGGAGGAAAGTTTCATGCCTGACACATTCCATGACTCAGGCTCAGAATCAAATCATCTCAATTTCAATCTCAAGCTCCAAACTTTAAAACTTCTTCCCCAAATCAAAGTTTATAGAAATAACTTTTAAGATGTTGTTCAAGTGGTTGACAACTTGAATTTGTAGAGAATAGCAAACAAACATTTGTGGAAGGGGTTAGGAGGCAACTCAGACTCTAAGAATTATTTTATCTGATTCAAAACACTGGTAGTAATATCTACAGTAACCAACAAAACACAGAAGTTATTTAACCTAAAACATAGTTTAGATCAAGTTGTAACAATATCTCGCTTATTTAGAATGATTAAAGAATAAATTGGGAGTAAATGAAGACTTTATTTTTTGGTGCTGGGGATTGAACCTGGGGCCATGTACATGCTAAGCATATGCTCTACCTCTGAGCTACATCTCCTGGCCAATGAGTTTTAGGATAATTTGGTATTGTAAGATAGCTAATACAAGCAATTTCTTGGCAAGAAATTGTCTCTTGTGAGAATTATATGGTTCATAGAGTATGCATTAGGTTATTGACTAGTTCTAGTGTTATCAGAATAATTATAAGTGAAACTAAAATTGTCAAAATAAATGAGCAAAGTAATCCTAAAATGAAATATCCATGGCTTTTATTATATTTGTTCACATAGTAATTTTCAAAAGTCAGCAATTGTCTCCTTGTCATTAGTGTGAATTAACAAGGCTCTACCATGAAAGCAGTTACAACAGTAATTATGAGGAATGAAATTACATTTCTAAACAAATGAAGGCTAAGTTCATATTTAGTACTATTTGAAAACTAAATGTCAGTGAAAGAGCATTTAAGCATATATTTTAAAGGCTAGTATAGAACTGAAAGAGAAACTTTTTAAAGTAATGTAATAGTGCACATCGTATTTTATTATAAAGTTCCATTCTTGTTTCTCAATTCCTGGTCTCTTGTTATTTTTAGAACATTTCTTTTGTCCTCCTGATTTTTGGCTTTTTTTGAGATGTTAGCTGACTTTACTTTTTGTATTTAAAAAAAATGAGCTTTAAAAATGTTTTTCTTGATCTTTTCATACTTTTTCATATTTCACATTTTTGATTCAACAATTCTTTGGCTTGGCCAGAATGGAAACTTTCCCCTTCTTATTGAGGTGTTTCAAAATGTTAAATTAGTATAATCTGGCTTGTAATAAAAGCTTTTATGTAAAAATCATGAAAACTTCTTCCATAAACTCTAAGCAATGTTGCTAGTCTATGTAAAAGCACCTAAGTACACACCACTTAACACTCAAAATGATTCGTATTTTAAAATTTTATCATTCTAAGAATATAAGACTAATTTCTTCTGAAATAGCTGGAAATCTACTTCATTTTTAAACCACACACAGAATTTTGTTCAGTGCATTTTTTGGGTAATACTCGTTAGAACAGACTGATAATGTTAAAGAACACAGTGCTTAGTAACCGAAGTTAAACCCTAAACACAGAACAGAGCTAACAACACTAAGACATGGTTTACCACGCTGGAAGTGGATGGACTCAATTTAAAAGATAAGTGGTGAACTCTCTCAAGTATTTCATTATTTATCTTTAATAAGTTATTAAACATTATTGGTGAGTCAGGGTTTAAAGATCATGCATTGGTCACTTTCCTATTATAAAATTTGAGGCAAGGTTGCTGGCCTGAATTAATAGCATTCAGGCCAGCAATTAATGATAGGCTCCGGTTTGGATTATAATGAACTTTAAAATAATTTTTTCACTGAATACCACAATTAATTATGTCTATACAATAAGCCAAGAACCCTGAAACAGGAAAACAAAGGTGTAGAACCTGCATAGAGTCCTACAGTGTTGATAATGGGGTAGACAAACGGGTAGAAAAGATTACAAGGCTGTATTAAGAACCATAGTCAACAGGGAAATTTTACTTTGCCCTCTCTGAGACTTGAAGAAGGGATTATGAAGCACCATTTCAACTGAGTTTTATTCAGAGGCTTAGACAGTCTGTGGGCACTGCAAATAATTTGGCCTGGCTGTAGCTCCGGGTGTGTCTGTGTGCAAAAGCACGGTGCGGAAGGAGGCTAGAAACCAAACAGTGGTGGAATCATGAGAGACGCATTTAAGCACAGTGCAGATACACCTGTTTGCCCAGAAGCGTAACGGTTTATGATCATTATCACAAAAGAAACTAGCAATAGTGTCTCCTTTCACTAAAAAATGTAAAATAGTGTTGCAGTCGTGTTCTCAGAGTTCCTGTGTCCTTGAAGAGTCGCTCTGATGGCCTCCCAAAATCGCGATCCAGCCGCCACCCAAAAAGGAACTGAGCCTAGCGAGGGCGCCGCCAGGGGTCCTGTGGGAAACAGGCTACAGCAGGAGCTGATGACCCTCATGATGTCTGGAGACAAAGGAATCTCTGCTTTCTCTGAATCAGACAACCTTTTCAAATGGGTAGGGACTATCCATGGAGCAGCTGATCCGGTATATGAAAAGCCAAGGTATAAGCTCTCCCTAGAGTTTCCCGGTGGCTCCCCTTACAATGCACCCACAGTGAAGTTCCTCACGCCCTGCTATCACCCCTGCGTGGACACCCAGGGTAACATCTGCCTGGACATCCTCAACGACAAGTGGTCTGCCCTATATGATGTCAGGACCATCCTGCTCTCCATCCAGAGCCTGCTAGGAGAATCCAGTATCAATGGTCCTTTGAACACACATGCTGCTGAGCTCTGGAAAAACCCCACAGCTTTTAAGAAGTACCTGCAAGAAACCTACTGGAAGCAGGTCTCCAGCCAAGGGCCCTGACCCGAACTGTCCAGCCTCTCCTGGGTTGTCTGTGTTTTTTCTTAGATGGCTTGTCTTTTCCTTGATTTCTGTGTAGGACTCTATCTTGTGCTGTGGTGTTATTTTTGTTTTGTTTCTGTTTTAAATTAAGCATCTGGTTGAGCCCTTGTAATGTAAATTAAATAAATATTGTCTTGGTTATTTTTGTACAAAAAAATGTAAAATAAATGCTACATTCATTCTATTTACAAAGCATACTAAAGGTTTGGCTGTTACATGAAGTTCAAAGCAAAATTCTGGTTTCTCTAAAGAAACAAAAATGAATAAATTATAGGTTTGAAATTTCAGAACTTTATAGACTAGTTGGAGACTAGACATGTGACAACAACGTATTAGGCAATGGAAGTAGATTGTTTACAGGAGATGTATGGCAGCTCTGAGCAAGCCATCCCTCTCTGCCTAGAATGAATCAGGGAAGGCTTTTATGCAGGATTTGTTATTTGAGGTGACCTTGAATGACAGCTATACCTTGGTTCTATAGTCTCTTTTTTCTGAGTTGCCCAGGCAGTTCAAATTTACCTATAGGGATAATTGACTAATCCTCTTGATAACTTATTATATATTTTTAAATATCAGTATAATATTAGAAAGCATGAAATAACATTTTTTATTTCTAAAAATAAAGATCTGCAAATAAAGGTTTAATGCAACATTCGAGTGAAACTTTTATTTTGTATAGTTTACACTATAGCATTCTTGATTAAGCAGGAATATTTGTGAAATCCATATATATTCTACTCCTGTTCTTTGTCAAGACACCAAAGTGTGCTGTTCAGGTAGGGGAAATAAATTATTAGGCATATGATCATAGCATCTCAACTGATGAAGAGGGGAGAAGTGGACAGAAGCAAAGCTGAACTGTGCACAGTATATTTTGCAAGATTTGCAAGTGTTCTTATCACCTCCAAGTCAGCCAGGCATCATTCTTGTCTTTTGAATTGTCTGTGCCAATAAATTGCTTTTTCATAGTCCAGTATGACATTCTTGTTTGTGAAGTGTTCCAAGTTTATCTGGTGTAAAAGCATCATGACTTGCCAGGTTAGGCCAAAGCTATTTGGCTTCCTTCAGCTTTGTGTGTGGCGATATTGTGCACAGCCTGAATAGAAAGGGCATTTTCTGGAGCTATTAGAACCCAGTAAGTTGAACTCTTTTACCTGCTTCATGTGTATATCCACCGATACAGGCCCTGTGTTTTCTATTTCTGGTTGCTCCAATTGCCTAATCCAGTGAAAAACATTGTGAATTCAGAATAAGAATAAAAAAGCTAGGTATGTCTAAGTAACGAAGACAAAAAACACTGCCAGAAATTGGCAGAATATAAGGAAGCACTTTATTATTTAGTATTTCCATAAAACAAATGCTTTATAGAGATTCACTTTATTATTCATGAAATCAGCACTAAATTTACCACATTTTAGAGAGACAGAACCTGGGACTTTCAGTGGTGTGATTTGTCTAAGGTCATAAAGCAGTTTTTTTATTTTTTAGTTGGAGATTTAGAACCTAAAGAACCTGAATATTCATGCCTTTTATTTACCCTTTCTGGTGTACTAGGGATGATTTTCTAGACTGTTATTATAATACATGCTGGACAATCACTTTTTTGAGAATTTGTAGCACTATTTGAAAGAGAACATTCATTTATGAAAGCAAGGTGAGGATGAGAAGTCCTTTTTGTTTACCCCTCTGCTTTCTTCCAAAGGCCACTTAACATATAATTATCCCACTGATCTTTCAATGTCTCTATCTTTTGAGTGAGTAACTAAGGTAATTCTCTTAGTGAAAGTCTGAGAAGATTAAATGAGTCTTTTAGGGCCAATCTTTATATTTTTGGTTGATAAGTCAGTCTTCGTGCATTCTGCTCTAATACCATTCCTTATGTCCAAGTACATAAATTAATTTGTATTTTTATATAGTGCTTACATAAGGCCTTTTCTAAAAAAGTCCAAATGAGAGCTAACATAGAGGCATGCAGCAGGAAGTAATTTCCTTTCCTAACAACAAGGTGAGAACAAGAAGGGAAATGGAGGTACAGAGAAGGAAGATGAAGAAGAATGGCAGGGAAAAATCATAAATGGGGAACCAAAACCAAAGCTGAAAAAGTCAAAGTAGAAGCTGAGACTAGGGCGGATGAATTGTTGCAATGTTGTGACTGAAATACAATTCTATGTCATTATGACTTTATTTTTTCATGGAGTAATAGAACTGGATGGCAATTTGGGAGATAACAGAGTATACTCCTTGTCTTTAAGTGACTAAATAGTTGATGCTACAGGATAGAGGGATTTTAAGTTTTTCAGTTAGAGAAGTTAAGCCTTTCTTGGAATTTACTTAACAGATTTTTCTGCTAAGCTCTTCTATAACATGACAGGGACACTTTCTGTGTCTGCATGCAGTGTGTGTATATGCACACATAAATGACAGACACATTCACACAAATAATATAATAAAACCATAACAGCAAGGATAGTTGTATATAAATATAAAGTCATTTTCATGTCCTAGCAACTTTCATATATAAATCAAATGGGACATAAATTATTATGCTTAATTTAGAGACTGGGAAATGAATGTCTCAAATGTTAACAGAATGCATTTAAAGATCCAATTTTATCTATTTCTTTGCTGAATGTGACTCAATATCTAGATTTAAATATACTCAATATTTAATCAAAAACAATGTATTAAATTTTTGCAAGCCTGAGAAGGAAAAACATATTCTACAAATTTAAGATTTGATTATATTTATTAAATAAATCTGACAAAGATAAAATACGCATACTTAATTGATTTAGTGAGTATTCCCCTGATTTTGTAATTCAGAGAGCCAATTGAAACTTAAAGGAAACAACCCTAGAAAGGAAATTTTTGAAACTGGCCATGATATTGCACTGTAAGGCCAAAGTTATTAGCTTTTGTGACTTCTAGAAACCAAATTATTACATTTTAGGATGAGTTTCTTTTAAAGAAAAACAAGTTTACTTTCTTTTCACTACATTTACAGTATTCTTATGTCATTGTGCTAAGACGAGGTTTCCTCTGCATCAATATGGTTTTCAGAGAGTTTAATTGGTAGAATACTGTTATATAAACCTCTTTCTGTAATAGTCTGTAGGCTAAAATTTCTGGCCGATCTCACATTCATTGTTGGCCCCAAGACTGTTTCCTACCAATGGAACTTGTACAGATTGCTTACTAAGTGAGTATACTTCCTCAATTCTCTTTGCATTAACTACCTAAATTTAGAGATGGTGGAGTTACAAGATAGATGGAACCTGCATTCCTGAATCACTACATGAAAGAAAGCCACCCACTTTGACACATGAGGAATAAATCAACTTCTATTAGGGTTTTCTGTTTAAAATGTAGAGAATATTTGTAATTACAGCTAGAATAACCTCAACTAATGTGCCCTTCCAAATACTTTCTATATTAGTAAACTTCTTGTCATTATAACAAATACCTAAGATACTCAACTTAAGAAGCAAAGTTTATTTTAGCTCAGGGCTTCAGAAATTTAAGTGCATGATCACTTGACCCTGTTGCTTGGGCCTGTGGCTGCATAGTATACACAACATGGTGCTAGCATGTACCACAAGAGGCCTGTTAACCTCATGGCAGCCAGGAAGCAAAAAGATGGGGATGGCCAGAGCTGCAATATCCTCTTCAAGAGCACACCCCCTGTAACCTTTCACTAGGCCAGACATCCTAAAGGTTCTACCACCTTTCAGTAGTGCCACGGGCTGGGACCCAACCTTCATTACCCAAGCCTGTAGGGGTTATTCAAAATCCGTAAGCATTCTTTTTCTTCTTCTCTATTCCTTTAACAAAATAGAAAAAGATGCTCTGAATTCTGTATTTTCATATTTTCCTTTATTTACTAGGAATCTGAAAATAGATCATATATAGCTGGGTGCTGGTGACTCATGATTGTGATCCTTGCTACTTGGGAGGCTGGGATCAGGAGAATCATACTTTGAGGCCAATCCAGGCAAATATATTGTGAGACCCCCATCTCTAAAGTAACGAGAGCAAAATGGACTGGAGGTGTGGCTCAAGTGGTAGAGCACCTGCTTTGGAGGTGTGAAGCCCTGAGTTAAACTCCAGTCCCCTCCTGAAAAAAGCAACATGTAGTGGTTTCACTAATGATTTGCATAATGTCATACAGTATCTTTTGATTCATGTCATATAATCTACTTGCTATCACACTTCTTTCCTTAGGTGTATCCATCTGCTTCTATTACCTACATATTTTTTTCAGGGGCATTATTGAGCACATTTTTAATCATTGCCCTTTCTTTTCCTTTTATTCACTAGATGTTGTATTTATTTCCTCTAACCTTCTCAATGTCATGGATTCTAACTGTGTGTCCCATTCAGGAAATGTTTGTGAAATAAACACTTTTCTAAGTCTAAATGAGAGCTAACATAGAATGAGTACTTCTCCCATACAGAAGTTTCAAGAGTTCATTTTTCCTTATCTTGTGTAGAAGTCAGTGAATATACACATACCAAATTAAAGTCATGCTATCAATGACCATATATTACTTGGAAAGGCAAAGACAATCTTCAAAAAGTTATAAGGTATTGTTCTTTAATGTATTCTCCATAGTTCAGGGTTACGGTCAATTCAGCAAGTCCCAAATTTTGTCATTACATTGAAAGGGTCCCACTTCTCAGGACTAGATTCATACAAATTAATCAATATATAAAATTTCATATATAATCAGAATGCCAATTTATTTATCTATGTTAGAAAAACTGATAACCAAATCAGAATACTGACATTTTTATAGTCATTACTACTTCTTCTTATAAACATAATAACTTCAACAGCCAAATTGCCATCAAAAGTTTGGTTGAAACAAAAAAACATGAAGAGGTAAGAACTAGTTGACTCAAATGCTTAATGAATTAGACTACAATAGACTGAAGTACCCGTTGCTGTAATAGTGCTATCC